CCCTGCAGTGAAGCACAGTGGTGGCTGCATCATGTTAGGAACACCATCCCTGCAGTGAAGCACAGTGGTGGCTGCATCATGTTAGGAACACTATCGATGACTGCATCATGTTAGAAACACTATCCCTGCAGTGAAGCATGGTGGTGGCTGCATCATGTTAGAAACACTATCCCTGCAGTGAAGCACAGTGGTGGCTGCATCATGTTAGGAACACTATCCCTGCAGTGATGCACGGTGGTGGCTGCATCATGATGTTGAGTGTTTTTCATTAGCAGGGGTAAAATACAAAAGAAATTGAAAGTGAAAGCAGTTTTAGTGTCCAAAGATTTGAGTTCATGTTGAAGAAAATGTGTGACTAATTTTTCATCTTCTGCCGGGTCTCAAGTGTTCTGTTGAACTTGGAACAAAACCCGTTGTTCTGACAAACCCAACACAGGAACTTTGTTCATTCTTAAAAAGTGTCAGTTGTTCGAATGTTTATGAAAAACAGTTTGTGTCACGTGCATAAGACATCTGACTTCAAACTCTCAGGTTCTGGTTCTGTCCCTGTGGTTATGGTTTCAGAGTCCTGTTGAACAGCCCCCCACCCCCACCTCACCCCCATCTCTCAGTGTCTGAATAACAACCATGTAGCATCAATTTGAAAACATCCATTAGTGCGAGCCACATCACAGCTGGGGGGAGGGGGCAGATGTTTGGAAAGGTATCTCATGTCATCACAGAATGATTTATTTAGTGCAGCAGAAGAAGAGGTGGTGGAGGAGGAGGAGGAGGAGGGATGAATATCAGGAGGAGAGATGAGGTGATAAGTAATAACACAGCTCACCTGGTATACAGGTGAGGCGCTGGCTGATGGGACCCAGCTTCAAAACATCTTTACCTACACATCACATAGCAGCCAATCAGAGGACAGGGTTTGCTCTGGACCCAACATACCAGTCCCAGACCACATTAACCAGTGGTGGGGGTGGGGTTCTGAAGAGTGTTCTCCCAGTTTTAAAGGTTCACTCTGAGGACACCAGAGCTGGTCCTGTTCTGACCCGTTTGTGTCAAAACAAGCCAGACTGACAGCAGCCAACGTCCAAACCACAGCTCTTTGATCACTTCCTACAAGCTTTTCAGTCTGAAGTTCTGGGCCCAGGTCACCTGTGGAGGGGCGACATCACTGACAGTTCTGTATTTGTCTACAGATTATATGGCTCAATGTCAGCACGGTCCATCAGAAGCAGCACATATTGGGGGGGGGGGGGGGAGTTAGGGTGGCTTTTAACGTCTGTCATCGTTTCTGTCAGCATCATTTTCTGAACCATCATAGGGGAAGAATCAGCCTGGTGTTTTATAACCAGATGGGCTTGTTGATGGGTGTGAGATGGATCCAGTGGGAATTAGACTCACGTTTTTATAAGCATTGAAACTCATCCCACATTGGTCAGACAGAAAGGGTGTTCTCAGGTGAGATGTCTCAACATG